CCCCAAAACCCCAAAACCCCAAAACCCCAAAACCCCAAAACCCCATATTTTTATAAAATTATTGAATATTATTAAGATGAGTGTCGAATGAATATATTTAATTTTTACTCTCAAAATTACTCAATTAGTAATCTAGATATGAACCGTGATTTTCCTGGTTTTTTCGCCACACGCTTGAGACTGAGGCTCTGGTAAGGTTATTATATTACTATGTTTATACTTATGTGAATAAACCTTCCAAACCCATAACCAATGATATTACATAGCTCCATAATTTTGAATTTCTGCTAATTTCTTAGTGTAAATCTCAATGTCTTCAAGATACTCTCCAAATCTAGTCTTGAAGCCGATGAGGTATCTCCCATACACGCTTAAGTCGAGGTCTTGATATTTAAATTCATTTTCATCGATCTTTGATTTCTTTATCAAGGGAGGAGCATATAGGCTTTCATCATCCTGGGGTTCATTTTCCATCACGTCTTGATCTCCTATAAGAATGATAAATATGATAATAACTAGCCCTTACGCTCGCTTAATTGGGCTTGTGATTCTGGAGCAATACTCTCGTTCTCAATTTTGGAGAAACTTGCGATTGAGTCACTTAGATTGACTATTTGAGCAAGCTCTATTTGTCCTTCCATTATTAGTCATTTTTCATAGTTCGTTCCTATTAAAGTTATTCTGGGAAGATACCTAATGTTAAGCTTCTAATTCTTTGATTTTTAGCTGATCATCATCAATTAAGAGTCTCAATCTGTTCGTTCTCATCAAGGAGGAGAGTAGCCTCAATCATTTCGTTCTTCTTTGCTTTTTCATGCATTGAGCCTTCATAAAGAAAGGTTGATAACTCTATTTGACCAGGAACTTCAAACTTAGTTTCAATTGCTGTAACATAATTGTAGCCAAAACATGTAATTGAGACAAGTCTAGCATTTGGGTTTTGTTCAAGGAAAGCCCAATGATCGTAAATTTTATTTGCCACTAGGAATGACTCTTTCACTCCCAACGATGGAAGCACTTGATTCAACATGAATATGTTTATAAGGATCCATTTCATTTTTAGTCCTCCTTCTTCTATCACTCAGATTGTTGGTCGACTTAAATTCAGAGTCCCTACCAATCATAGTCGTTTTGATCGATTTCGGTTGATAACATGAATGAACAGAATATCAACTCTGGATGGGTCCTTGAGTGGTGTCATCAATTTTAAGCTTAAAGTCGAACTTTCCTGTCACAGGGTTAGGCATTTTAATAAACTTGATTAGTTGAACATCATGACGAATATCAGTCATTCTTATAATATCATTTTTCTTCCTTTCGATAGTATTTACTGTCTTGTTTGAAAAATTGCAGCCCATTTGAAGACTTATCTTTTATTAAATATACAATAAAATGTATTATTATAGGGGTTTTGGGGTTTTGGGGTTTTGGGGTTTTGGGGTTTTGGGGTTTTGGGG